TGGAAGCACAGAATCATCTAGAAGTCATTGTATGCTGTAGCGTTAAGATTTCCCTTCACTGGAACTAAGGGGCCTAGTCCGAACCATGAAAAACAGCCCCAGACCACTCATTATTCCTCCTCCAAACTTTAGTTGGCACTATGCATTGGGGCAGGTAGCGTTCTCCTGGCATCCGCCAAACCCAGATTCGTCCGTCGGACTGCCAGATGGTGAAGCGTGATTCATCACTCCAGAGATTCCACTGCTCCAGAGTCCAATGTTGGCAAGCTGTACAGCACTCCAGCCGACGCTTGGCATTGCGCATGGTGATCTTAGGCTTGTGTGCGGCTGCTCGGCCTTGGAAACCCATTTCATGAAGCTACCGACGAACAGTTCTTGTGCTGACGTTGCTTCCAGAGGCAGTTTGGAACTCGGTAGTTAGTGTTGCAACCGAGGACAGATACGCGCTTCAGCACTCGACAGTCCTGTTCTCTGAGCTTGTGTGGCCTACCACTTCGCGGCTGAGCCGTTGTTGCTCCTAGAAATTTCCACTTCACAATAACAGCACTTACTGTTGACCGAGGCAGCTCTAGTAGGGCAGAAATTTGACAAACTGACTTGTTGGAAAGGTGGCATCCTATGATGGTGCCATGTTGAAAGTCACTGAGCTCTTCAGTAAGGCCATTCTACTGCCAATGTTTGTCTATGAAGATTGCATGGCTGTGTGCTCGATTTTATACATCTGTCAGTAAAGGGTGTGGCTGAAATGACCAAATCCACTAATTTGAAGTGGTGTCCACATACTTTTGTATATATACTGTATCTGAGTGACTCAAACATTATAACATTTGGGGAATTTTAGGGGAAACACTGCCATGTTGTTTTTGTATTATTACCCCTCTAGTATGTGATGTCTCTGAAACAATACAGTTATACTGATCTGTAGCATCCTGTATCTGGGCAAATAATGGTTTGCTTTGTGAGTAACTTTAACTAGTTACCATTCTATTAGCGCTTTATTCCGTGCTGTAATGTAAAGTGCTACCAAAATAACAACAACAACAACAGACTAGAAGGGAGCTTGTAGAAGCTGCAGTAGGGCAGGATACTGGAGTTTTAGGCTTGGTATGTCAGGTCATGGAGTTGCTCCCAGTGTCTCAGCGTCAGCAGCACAGCAGGATAATGGAGTACAGCCTTTAGCACAGGGCAGGCCTCTGCTGATTGCTACAACCAACCAACCACAGTGAGAGTCAGTGTGACGGACAGACAGACAGACCCTCATAGAGATGCACAGACATACAGAACCTGACAGCAATCCAGACAGACATCAGGACTGGTAGATGATATCCCTCCCTCCTATTACTACGGCCCTTATTGTGGCATTCAGCAGTTTTGTACGGCAGCAGCACGCCACTGCCAAGCCGGTGTAAAACACAAAGACTGTTTATCCTGACAACATCACAAAGGCCTATTAGCTTACCATTCATTCACAGTTCACCTCTGCATAGGTTGCCGTAGCAACAGCAAGTAGCAGGGATGATGAGTAAGAAGTGGAGGTTTCGACAGCTGTATGTGAATGCAAAGTGTCACTTTTACTGAACTTTAATGTTAAAATGTCCCATCCTTGTGTGTGTGGGGGCGGCATTTCATTTCAAAACAAGGTCATAAGGATGTGTGAAGATCAGATAATTGTTTTCTTGAGAGCCAGTGTGTTTCACTCCCTCTCTGTATGGTGAGTGCATTTCCTAGATAAGGCTAAAAGCAATGACTTGATTTCTCACTCAACACACACCCTGTGCTGATGAAATCTACCCAGCGCTTTCACTTGGTGGTGCATGTCTAGTCTGTTCTATTCTAGTGTTTATAATATTAACCATAATTAGTCTGAAATGCAAGGTAATTTATTCCTTAAACATTAGTCCCCAAAAGAGACTGAATGCAGACGCCTGGGGCAGAATATTTCACTTTTTAATAGTCAGCCATAATACCCCTTCCATAATAAAATGTTAGCCGCAATTCATACTAATGTCTGAGATCTTTCGCTCTCCTTTTGGAGTAAAGCCAACCCAAGGGACTACAATATTCTAACGGCTGTATCATGCGTTCACTAGCAAATAGCATAAATCTGAAGGACAAAAACCTGCGTTGTATAGGCTACAAATAACTAGCTGAGGATGTAATTCCGTATGCTTTTGCCTGTTTCGGTTTGTGTGATGGCACTTTGCCTGGATTTAAGGCCAAAATGCTGATGCATATGGCTGCTACCGTACAACAGGCTCTCGCGCTGCAGATGATGCTTCAGCTCCAGCATCTGTCACCAATTCAAATGACAGCTCGAGCCTATGTCTTGCAGCGCAATGTGACAAGAAGAAGGCTATTCAAAACATTGCATCGATTGTATAACGATATGAAATTGAGGCCTCGCCGGCGAAGGGGCTACAATGTGTCCTCTTATTTCTGTGCGTAATACAGTAGGCTACAGAAAAAAATAACAGGGTTTGTAGCCTATTTCGGCTATTTTCTTTTTCGCTTGCCTTCCCTTTCCATTTGAGGGGCCTATTCGCTCTCCGACAATATGCAAATGAAGACCACTGTATTATTTCGACAAGAGAGAAATTGAGCAGTATTAGCACCGCTGTCGCCGAGTAACCTCTGATGAAGATTAAGGCTTCCTTCTCTGTGCTTTGTTTTGGAGCAGAAACGTAAACTTCGCTCGATCCATCTACATGCATAACACATATTTCTGTGACACATGAAATTATAACAAGAACAACAACAGTAAATAATGTCTAGATACATTTATAAATAAAACAGCAATGCCCACCTGAATGTTCCCATAATCGAAGCGGCTCTTGCTCGTAGCTCCTATGTCATTCCAACACCTGGCAACCACGAAACTAGCCCAGAATAAAACCTTCACAATGTCGACTTCGCCGCCTTAAGAAAATTACAGTGCGAAACGCGACGCCGAAGCCATCGCTCGTGCTGCTGTTTTATTAGAAAATGCGAACTCGCGCGCCTGTCCGTCTGTCTGGAGCTTCCTCAAGAAGACCTATAACTAGCTACAGGCGACAACTACTAGACAGGGAGCTGTCCACCCTTTCTCCCCTGTCATCCCCAACTATGTAATAATACAAATAAGGCAGACATTAAAATCAATCATTAATAGAAATCATAAACAGAATGGCGTGCTTCAGCGTTTCTACAACGTTTGCCATGAAGTGGTGCAAACACCAATCAGATTACAACACAGACATGATTGGCATGTCTAAAGCCAATGAATTGGCTTAATTAAGGTACCATTTGTAGTGACACGGCAATGATCCACTCATGCCTATTCTTTATTCTGCGGGGAGGCGGGGCTTGCAGGTGTCACCGGCATACAGTGGTGTACTTGCTGTAAAGCGTATTCGAGATTTGTTCCCTCTCAAGAAAGATAAAATGAGAGAATTTTTTTTATGTAACTCTTTTTATGTCAATTGCAATTAGGTTAGGGCATTATTATAGCCTATACTGGGCTATGACTGGCACAGTGAACATACTCATGACAATGATACAGTAGACAGCAAATTGACCTTAAGAATCTATAGCATGCAGGTGGGTCTGTAAAACATTTTTTTTATTGAATTAAACTTGTTTCCCAAACTCCTCTTCTGCACAGTTACTTTTTGCATCTTTTTTTGCAGGGGAAGCAAAATATTTTTGCCAGGGCGGCTGTGATCCGCGGGAGGAGAGCCTGTTTTTTCTTCGGCTCATCTGCAGCCACGGTACCTGAACAGGTGACAGAGAACAGGGCATGAAATCAGGGTCGTCTTCATTAGGGCACACAGTAGCAAAATGTTTTTAAATGGAAAACAAAAACAAGCATTTGTTATTGGCAAGTTCAAGGAAGTTCCTCCCTGTTTTAGTCTGTTGTCTTCCATTTAGTGTCTAATGAATAAGACCCTGATAACTTCATCATAGTCTCCTGTCCTTACATTACAATAGTGTGCTGAAGACAGATGCACATGTTGACTGACAGAAATGAGGACTTACTATCATTGCCAAGAGGAGCCACCTTGTTCTTCTTCTGGTCCTTGTTATTTCCTCGCTTCCTCTCTCCTGACTTCCTCACTTCTTCCTTCATAGCCTCTTCCTTCTCTTTCTTCTTAGTAGAGAGAGAAACAGATATGAGTCGATGCCTCACAATCAAACTGCCCAATTATCTAAACAATCTACTGGTTCTTGGCTGTCTCACCTGTGTGGAGGTGCTGTCCTCGAGGTCTGTGGAGAGGGCGCTGCTTCTGGCCTCGGTGCTCTCAGAAGGGTAGCTAATTACCTGGGACCTCTCGGAGATGGCTGAGCTTACACTGGTCTTCTCCAAACCAGTGCTGTCATCAGCCATCTCCTCTAGGTCCTCTTCCAGGGTTTCCCTCCGGGCCAGGAGCTCCTCGGTGAGGGTTACGTCACTCCTTGAGGAGGTTAAGGAGCGTGACCTCCCACTAGCACGGCTCCTCCTGGCTCCAAAATGGCCGTTGGAACTCCAGTCCTCGGAAAAGTAATCTATGACTTGTGCGATGGTGTCCGCCATGCACCCGATGGCTCCCTCGCCACCAGAGCGTGCGGCACGCAGTTGAGCCCGGTTGGAGTCCGAACGCAGACACAACCTTTTAGCCGCAGTCTTCACGATGGCCTTCACCGCATCCTTCCCCCTGAATTGGATGCTCTCCTCCAGGCCGAAGAGGACAGAGATGTCAGCATACTTCAGGGCATGCTGGACCTCCACAAAGAGATTCTTCATCAGCCTGAAGGGGTCATTGGCCCTCCTTGCCTGGGGGGACTCTGAGGCCTCCAGACGGCACATGATGCCCTGGAGGATAAACTTCAGGGTCTGTGGGCTCATGACGGTGGCACAGGGAGTGCTGCGAAGGAGGATGTCCTCCTCAATAAGGCTCTCGCCCGGTAGTAGGGAGGGAATCTTTTCCAGGAGGTCCTGCCTGGCCTTGGTGGGCATCAGGGAGCTGTCACTCACCTCGGAGACCTCAGCTCCCCCCACCTCTTCTTCCAGGGTCTGGGAAGGAGCTGCCCGTGCTGCATGGGTAGTCGTCCTTCATGGAGGTGCTGGGGACTACCTCTTCTTCATCAAGGAAGGGTTTGACCTTCGTGAGGTTAGGGACCACCTTCTCTTCATCCTGGCAGGGTCTGGGCAGCAAAACGTCCAGAGTCCATGCTGCCTGGGTTGAGGTGGATGGTTTAGGGTATGAGACAGTCATGACACTCACAACCACCTCCTCTTCGTCCTTGGGTGAAGAGGAACACGGAGTGTCAGGGAACCTGTCCCTGGCACCGGAATCCATTCCTAAGAAAACACACTCATATTCTGAACTGGTTCAAAGCCACATCCATGTATAGCACTATGCAGTATCTAGTACATTTACTATAATGATAATACACTGGTTATTACATGGTTATTACTGGTCATATGGGTAAAACAGGTTATAAATGTACCTTTCTGGATGATGAGCCTGGCCTTGTAATCGTCGTTGCAGGTCCTGTTCAGGATGTCTCCCACCCTGGTGGTCAGGACCTGGTAGATGGCCCCTAGTCAAATCAACATTTATTTAAAGCAGGGGTGTCAAACTCATTCCATGGAGGGCCGAGTGTCTGCAGGTTTTTGTTTTTTCCTTTCAATTAAGACCTAGACAACCAGGTGAGGGGAGTTTCTTACTAAATAGTGACCTTAATTCATCAATCAAGTGTGGAGTGAAAACCCGCAGACACCCGGCCCTCTGTGGAATGAGTTTGACACATGTGATTAAAAGTGTTACTTCACACACAAAATGTCTCCAAACACTTTATAGAAAAATAAGAAAAAAAGAGGAGAGAGAAAAGGAAAATACCCTTCATGACAATAAGGGAAAAGAGAGAAGGGGAATGGGAGGGGCAAAAGACGATATAAACAACATAATAACTAACCTAATGCCTCCTTGTTGTCATCGGAGAGGGAGCCGGAGGACTGGAGGGTCAGGGAGCTGTCCCTCTCCAACTGAGCGGCCCACCTCCCAAGAGGCTCTGCCCCCTCCTCCTCCCTAAGCCCACGTGACCAGCTGGAGTCACTGTCCCACAACTCCTCTTCGCTGGATGTGGAGGTGTCCCCCCAGCCATCCCTATACATCCAGTTGAAGTTGTCATTCTACATAATGTCTCTACCCGGTGGGGTGGTCGGCAGACCCAAGAAGTTCTCCAGCAGATTCTTAATGGTCCGTTGAATGAACATATACAACACGTCTGTGAATAATTCATTGGAGAGCCTACGGTTGGCAGCCAGGTCTTTCAGGATGGGCTCGGACCTGCTCTGGCGGGCCATTGGCCTCCTGCCCATACCGGTGTCCAGAAGCATCTGATACACCTTGCAGATGAGCTCCTTCCCAAAGTAGTGGACCTTCCCCCTGAAGATCCTGTTGACCAGCCTCCATGAGGACAAGATCTGCCCCAGGGGTTCCACTGCCGGGGTGAACTTCATGTCCATGATATCATTCAGTGAAACATCATCCTCACTGCTGAACTCCAGGTTGAGTTCCCGGTCAGTGTCGGAGTGCGTCAGATGATTAATAACATCAAAGATGTTACTGGCTGTGACTCCTGCCTCTCTGTGGCCGGTGGTGGGAGTGGTGGTCTGGCTGCTTCTTCTGCCGCCATGCCCAGACCTGGGAAGGCTGGGAGTGCTGGCAGTCTGGGTCTCGTCCATCTCCCCAGCAGGGCTGCTTGTCTCCCCAACTACCCCTGGCCTCTCCCCAAGCAGGGCAAAGACAGGGAGGGACCCCTCGCTAAGGGCTTTATGGACGTCCCTTCCCTTGGGCCTCCTCACTGACCCCAGTTCTCCCACACTGACGCTGGAGCAGAGTGGGTCTCTCTGGAGGTCAAAACTCTCCATCTCCTTTGCCTGATGATAGAGGTTGAACCATCTTGATCCCTGTGAGGACCCAGAGCTACTCCAGCTGTTGTCCTCCCCCTCCTGGAAGGTTTCCAGGGCCGCACTCTCACACGCGTCCCTGAACAGCTCTGAGAAGATGGTGGAGAGCCTCTCTTCGGTCAGAGTGATGCCTGGATTGGTTTTCTCCAGGTCATCCTCACCAGAAGAGAAGAGGTTCTCCTGGACCCTTTTCAGGATGTTACTCACAAACAGATCTGCTGTGCCCTGAAGCTCCTCGTCGGTCTCAGAAGGGGGAGTGGGTGGCTGCCCGCCGAGGAGCCTTTCCCTCAGCTCAGAACTCCGCTGGTGGAACTTCTCCGAGATGATCTGGAGCACACCTGACGCCCAGCGGGATGAGTCTGACGACTCTGGACTGGAGGTCCTGTGCAGAGCCATCGCTGGGAGGAACACCTCATTGGAGACACACACCACCCATTTGATTATCTTGTCCAGGTCGCCTATTGTCATGTTCTTAGAAAGAGAAACAGAAAACAACAAACTGACAGCTAGAAGGTTTTATGTTACAAGATAGTTTTTTCCCATGATAACCGTCGGTAAAGAAGAAGAAATGGGGGACTTACCATTTGTTTGAGGAACTTCCTGATAAGCTTTCTCTGACTGGAAAACAAACAAACACCAGGAATCATTGGCAACTTAAACTAGTGTTTACATAGATTATATTTTTTCTGCACATAATGAGGTTCACAGCAGGACCACGGGTGAGACTTCAGGTAGTCTGTTGGAGAGAACTCCTCAGGTGAGATTGGATGGGAAGCATCATTGCGCTCCGCCTCAGAGGTGACATCACTCTTTGGTGTCAGGGGGTCATCAACAGATGGAAAGGAGATCATTATCTCCCCGTCCTCAGGTGTCACGGGACCTGGGGGTTCTAAAACATAAGACAATCAGAATTACCACTGAACAAGCTAGTTACCACAGCAACGATTCTATTGAGGTTGTGCAATCAGGAATAAACACTGTGTCACCAACACCCACCTGTTGTCTCCACTTTAGTCACTTTAGTGCCCTTCTTGATAGCTGGCAGGACACCTACAGAAAGAGGAGAGTCGAAGTATGATGTGATGCTGGAAGGGGCATACATGTATAACTCATAGTCCTTCCACCATATATCCTTTTAGAATTCTATCAATAAATCCACGTTTTTTGGAAGTGGTGATCAATACTCACTGTAACTGGTTGTTGGAGATAGAAGAGGTTGAGGCAGTGCCAACACACCAACTACTTGGTGGCTTGGTTTTTTCACCCCTGCCTTAGCCTCCCTAGCCCTTCTAGCCTTGATAGCCTCTCTGGCCTTCTTTTCTGCCTTGGCCATATTGGCCTCTCGGCTGGGCCTGGGGCCATGTGGGGGCTTCGGCACAAGGTTCTGAGACAAATAACAACAGTGGGAAAATCATATCACCATAGAAACCACCTCTTTCACCATATTATAGGCATGATGGTACTGAGTGACATGTCACATAAGGGTTAACCTTATAATTATAATTATAATTAAAATCAGAATTCCAATACAATTAGTTCTAACTAGTAGGTGACCCATGTGTCTTAATGGCATCATTATCTCATTGTAAACTGGTTTTCAACACGTCATATTACTAGATTACAACCAACTGGTCTCCGTTACAACCAGATGTTTTGCAACAGAACTAAAAGCCGTTTCTTACCTTTAGGGGGCCGTCCTTGGGGCAATCTACCAGGGCTGGCAGCCTTAGTCCATCATGGCCAGTGGCATGGACGTCTGTCTGGAGCACCTGCTCTCCAGGTCTAGCTTGGAGGGTCCCAGCCTGGGGTAGAGGAACATAAGGAAATACATTTAACTTGAGCCCTCCATTATTATGCCCACTTTTCCAACATATAAATCCGTTTTTACAGCATATAGGCTATACTACCAAGAAGATAGCCTCATTACATATCAAGAGAGATAGCCCCAGAATAAACAAGCATTTTTTTTCACTTATGAGACTCACTTTTAGAAGAATTCTTCTCAACCGTTTATGATTTCTATCCATTGTGCTTTCAGGCACCCTTCAGATTGGACCTGACATTTTTTTAAATAAACAATTACATTTAAAAATAAATGTACATTTTATTTTTATAAAATCCTGGCCAGTTTTGCTGTACTCACACATAATTTATTCTTTGTCCACTCAAAGTAATTTATTTGAACATGAGGATGACTGTCCTTTGCAAATCATCAACTCAACTGAGCCAAAAGTAGGCACTGAACCTTTTCTTGAGTGCGTTTACGTCATAGGCTCCTAGATTACGTCATGCCATTGTACATTATTACGTCAACTAACACAGCGCAGAGCGACCACTCCGGGAAATTAATGCATTGTTTCTGATCACATACGAAATCTCTAAAAAAGTTTACAATGTAACCCAATTCACTTTGGTTCATTGAGGTTTTATCGTATTTAATGGATAAATGTTGCCCTCTTTTGACAATAACTGAAATAGTCAGGAATTAAAGTCGCCATCATCAGTCTGCACTCTGCACACTCCCACTGTTGGACTTTTAATAGCTACAGTTAAAATAACATCTATTTAGTGTCAATAATATGGAACAATCAAATTATTATATATTTGTTTACATTTTTAGTCATTTTAGCAGACGCTCTTATCCAGAGCGCATACATTTTTTTTTATTTTTCATACGGGAATCGAACCCACAACCCTGGCGTTGCAAATGCCATGCTCTACCAACTGAGCTACATCCCTGCCGGCCATTCCCTCCCCTACCCTGGACGACGCTGGGCCAAATGTGCGCCGCCCCATGGGTCTCCAGGTCGCGGCCGGCTACGACAGAGCCTGGATTTGAACCAGGATCTCTAGTGGCACAGCTAGCACTGCAATGCAGTGCCTTAGACCACTGCGCCACTCAGGAGGCTATTATAGTCAAATAAATCAAATCATTGATGGGTTTGGTGAGGGAAGACAGATGTGGTAAGCTGACATGATCAGGGCAGGCCCACATATTGCCAATTATGAATAAATTGCCCAAAATGCCTCATATAGCTTCATGTCACACATCTATCATAATGTATACAAACTGGATGAATGCAGGCTGTTTGTTTGTAAATGTTGTAAATAAATGTATATATTATGTGTATGATTATTATTTTTAATTATTGTTTCATTCACTTATATTTTTGACCTGCATTGTTGGAGTTCAGAGCTTAAGAATTTCACTGTAACCTGCAATTACATCTGCGACCCTATGTATGTGACTAATAAACTAATCTAATCTAAATTCAGACATCATTTCTGGAAGATGAAACCTAGTCATACGTAGCTATAATTTACATTATCGCTGAATAAGGCTATCACAGTGTACTTTTTTCATGCCAGTGTTGTCAAACGAGAGATGATGCTCACAATTAAGTTTAGGGGAGCTGGTGAAATCCCGCCTTCTTTGCTGGCATTTTCAAGATCGGCATTTGAATAGGCCAATCATGGTTCGTTTTCAGACCGGTTTGGGGAGATTGTCTTAAAAATTTACCAATAGTGGCTACGAATACAGTAGCCCAGCGCTTCCGGACGAATGTACTTGAGGACTGCCCCTGTGAACGTAGCTAGCAGTGATACTCGAAGCCGATTTGAATTAACACCGAAAAGTAAGTGTATTTTAATTGCATAACAAATGCACTGTATTGAGTAATTTTCAATATCTGCATGGATTGTAAAGTTGAAACATCTATTTCTCTTTCCATAACGCCCATAAATAGCAGCCATGTTCGAGTATATTTGTGTTGTAATCTTTGCTAAAACCTTGTGCGATCTGGCTAGCTAACACATTTAGCATTGCGTCGAGCTAGTACTAGCACGGTCATGTCAGTTAGCAGTTAACTTATGCTAGCAGTGTGTCGCAGGTTGGTTCCGAGAATTACATTAGGTCAAGTTAGACCCTAGAAATGTCTTACTCGTTATTAATTTGAGCCAACGTTATTTCTGAATATGCACCTTGCATTTGGAACCTATTATGGACTTTATAGCACTTTGCTGCCACAAAGTTTGAATGAGAGGAGACGGCTGCCATTGTTTGTGCGGAGAGTGAGGCATGACTCCCTGTTCAACTTGATTGAATCGGGCAACTGGCTAACTAACGTTACAGGGTGGTTGCTGGTCCAATCCTTGTTTCTAGCTAGGTAAATTGTAATGATTATGTGCAAAATGTATTCGCTTACCATTTTGCATACTATCCAACTTTGGCGGTGACAAGCCGTGCTGTGAGTGCGGCCTGCTACTAGCATTATTAGCAGCTAACCAGCCTAGCTGTAAGCTAGCTAATGCTATGTAGGAATACATGTTGGACCAGCGTTTCCCAAACTCGAACCTAGGGACCCCAAGGGGTGCACGTTTTGGTTTTTACCGTAGTACTATACAGCTGATTCAAATAATGAAATAATCATCAAAGTTTGATTGATAGATGGTGAGGAATTTTATATAGATTATTGAATTGGCATTTCAATTTACCTTCTGAATTTACTGTATTGTTGATATAGCCCCCCCCCCCCCCCCCCCAACTAGTCTCCAGTCTTTCCTAGTTTCAACTAACACAACTACTCCTTCTGTAGCATGGCAGAGAACGACGTTGACAACGAGCTGTTGGACTATGAAGAGGATGAGGAGCCACAGGTTGCCCCAGAGACTGCCACACCAGCGGGCAAGAAGGAGGTAAAGGGTTCTTACGTTTCCATCCACAGCTCCGGCTTCCGAGACTTCCTGCTCAAACCAGAGCTGCTCCGCGCCATTGTCGACTGTGGCTTTGAACATCCCTCTGAAGGTGAGTCTCACAGGCACTGCCCACCTTCAACCAAGGACCGTCTCTGACTTAGTTTGTTCTATGTGTGTCTCAAATGGCACCCTATTCCCAATTTTAGTGTAATACTTTTGACCAGGGCCCATGGGGCTTTGGTCAAAAGTAGTGCGCTATATATGGGCCCTGGTCGAAAGTAATCCACTATATAGGGTGTCATTTGGGACTCGGACTATGAGATATACATGTATGCCCCTTCAAGCATCACATCATACTTCTGACTTGTGTTTCTGTCTTTCAGTCCAACACGAGTGCATCCCACAGGCCATCCTGGGCATGGACATCCTGTGCCAGGCCAAGTCTGGTATGGGCAAGACAGCTGTGTTTGTACTGGCCACCCTGCAGCAGATTGAGCCCGTGGACGGGCAGGTGAGTGGTTGAAAAATGAAATTCAACTCTACATTGTGGAAGCAGCCATTTCAATGGAGAATCCATTGAGTGCTTTTTAGTTGAGGAATAGGCTTAATCTGTATCTGGGAAACCACCCCTTAGAGACTAGGGGCGTGGAGGGAGACTTGCATAAAGTGTTTACTTCTAATCGCTAACACTATTGCAGTCTGAATTTGTTCTCCTTTTAATCCCACTGTTTACACAGCGCTTTTCTATTGGATAATCTTGTGTGTGTGCCTTTTTGTTTCTCTGATGTCCAGAGAGCTCTGTATTAAACATCCTCCCCTACCTCTCTCTCTCTGTCTACCAGGTGTCTGTGCTGGTGATGTGCCACACACGAGAGCTGGCCTTCCAGATCAGCAAAGAGTACGAGCGCTTTTCCAAGTACATGCCCACCGTCAAGGCGGCCGTGTTCTTCGGGGGCCTGTCCATCAAGAAGGACGAGGACGTGCTGAAGAAGAACTGCCCCCACATCGTGGTCGGAACGCCCGGCCGCATCCTGGCCCTCATCCGCAACAAGACTCTCAACCTGAAGAACGTCAAGCACTTTGTCCTGGACGAGTGTGACAAGATGCTGGAGCAGCTTGGTGAGTAGGACAGTGGGGATGGTGCCAGATGTGTGAGAATGTGAGTGACGGGAGCAAGGAGTACGTTGAAACGTCAAAGATGAACGGTCAATTGAAAACATATGTTTCAATGTACACTACCAGTCAAAAGTTTGGACACCTATTCATTCCAGGGTTTTTCTTTATTTTTTACTAGTTTCTACATTGTAGAATAATAGTGAAGACATCAAAACTATGAAATAACACATATGGAATCATGTAGTAACCCAAAAAGTGTTAAACAAATCAAAATATATTTTATATTTGAGATTCTTCAAATAGCACCCTTCACAGAGTTCAAATAACAGACACATCTCAACATCAACTGTTCAGAGGAGACTGTGTGAATCAGGCCTTCATGGTCGAATTTGCTGGAAAGAAACCACTACTAAGAAGAGACCTGCTTGGGCCAAGAAACATGAACAATGGACATTAGACCGGTGGAAATGTGTCCTTTGGTCTGGAGTCCAAATTGTATATTTTTGGTTCCAACTGCCGTGTCTTTGTGAGACACGGTGTGCGTGAACAGATGATCTCCATGTGTAGTTCCCATTGTAAAGCATGGAGGATGTGTTATGGTGTGGGGGTGCTTTGCTGGTGACACTGTCTGTGATTTATTTAGAATTCAGGGCACACTTAACCAGCATGGCTACCACAGCATTCTGCAGCGATACGCCATCCCATCTGTTTTGGGCTTAGTGGGACTATAATTTGTTTTTCAACAGGACAATGACCCAACACACCTCCAGGCTGTGTAAGGGCTATTTTACCAAGAAGGAGAGTGATGGTGCTGCATCAGATGACCAGGCCTCCACAATCCCAATTGAGAGAATGCCAATAGTGTGCAAAGCTGTCAAGGCAAAGGGTGGCTATTTGAAGAATCTCAAATATAAAATATGTTTTGATTTGTTTAACACTTTTGTTGCTTACAACATGATTCCATATGTGTTATTTCATAGTTTTGATGTCTTCACTATTATTCTACAATGTAGAAAATAGTAAAAAGAACAACCCTTGAATGAGTAGGTGTCAACTTTTGACTGGTACTGTACATACCACTTAGAATGCACATCTAATTCACTGTTTCATACTAAGTAGTGGTGGATCTTGGAACAGATTGTGATAGATGGTGTGAATTAAGTAAGGATTTAGCCAAAACGTAGACTGTCAATAGTGTATTTAAACCTTTTTTTGTTGTATGTAGTACTCAGATTTCAGGCTGAGGGTGTTGACTTTTTTGTGACTGACATTCTTTTCCTATCGTCTCTCCCTCAGACATGAGGCGTGATGTTCAGGACATCTTCAGGCTCACACCCCACGAGAAGCAGTGCATGATGTTCAGCGCCACCCTAAGCAAAGAGATCCGCCCTGTCTGCCGCAAGTTCATGCAGGATGTAAGTTGGAAGGGGTTTCAATAACCACAAGTGATGTACATGTTCTGAAACTTAAAGTAGCAGTTTTACACACACACAGATTAACCAGTCTCCCTAAATTGCACTTTTAAAGCGGCAATCAGCAGTAGAAAGAATAATGAAGCGTTTTCCTCGCCCCTGTTTTCAGTAAAAAGCTGAGGGATAGGTCTGGAGAAATGTAACCACTCTCAAATTCATAGAGCTACGGATGCAAGGACTGACCATACATGATATCAGAATTATCGTTTTGAGGCTATATATATATATACACACACACACAGAGAGAGAGCTCTGGAAAATTATCATTTTCTCTGGTTTTACTATTTATAGGTACAGTGAGGGGGGGAAAAAAGTATTTGATCCCCTGCTGATTTTGTACGTTTGCCCACTGACAAAGACATGATCAGTCTATAATTTTAATGGTAGGTTTATTTGAACAGTGAGAGACAGAATAACAACAAAAACATCCAGAAAAACGCATGTCAAAAATGTTAAATTGATTTGCATTTTAATGAGGGAAATAAGTATTTGACCGCTCTGCAAAACATGACTTAGTACTTGGTGGCAAAACCCTTGTTGGCAATCACAGAGGTCAGATGTTTCTTGTGTGCAAACCTGGTGGCCAAGTCATTAAGGTTTCAAGGCTGACGTTTGGCAACTCAAACCTTCAGCTCCCTCCACAGATTTTCTATGGGATTATGGTCTGGAGACTGGCTAGGCCACTCCAGGACCTTAATGTGCTTCTTCTTGAGCCACTCCTTTGTTGCCTTGGCCGTGTGTTTTGGGTCATTGTCATGCTGGAATACCCATCCACGACCCATTTTCAATGCCCTGGCTGAGGGAAGGAGGTTCTCACCCAAGACTTGACAGTACATGGCCCTGTCCATCGTCCCTTTGACGCAGTGAAGTTGTCCTGTCCCCTTAGCAGAAAAACACCCCCAAAGCATAATGTTTCCACCTCCATGTTTGACGGTGGGGATGGTGTTCTTGGGGTCATAGGCAGCATTCCTCCTCCTCCAAACACGGCAAGTTGAGTTGAAGCCAAAGAGCTCGATTTTGGTCTCATCTGACCACAACACTTTCACCCAGTTCTCCTCTGAATCATTCAGATGTTCATTGGCAAACTTCAGACGGCCCTGTATATGTGCTTTCTTGAGCTGGGGGACCTTGCGGGCGCTGCAGGATTTCAGTCCTTCACGGCGTAGTGTGTTACCAATTGTTTTCTTGGTGACTATGGTCCCAGCTGCCTTGAGATCATTGACAAGATCCTCCCGTGTAGTTCTGGGCTGATTCCTCACCATTCTCATGATCATTGCAACTCCACGAGGTGAGATCTTGCATGGAGCCCCTTGCCGAGGGAGATTGACAGTTCTTTTGTGTTTCTTCCATTTGCGAATAATCGCACCAACTGTTGTCACCTTCTCACCAAGCTGCTTGGCGATGGTCTACAATCTTGTCCCTGACATCCTTGGAGAGCTCTTTGATCTTGGCCATGGTGGAGAGTTTGGAATCTGATTGATTGCATCTGTGGACAGGTGTCTTTTATACAGGTAACAAACTGAGATTAGGAGCACTCCCTTTAATCTCAGCTCGTTAACCTGTATAAAAGACACCTGGGAGCCAGAAATCTTTCTGATTGAGAGGGGGTCAATACTTATTTCCCTCATTAAAATGCAAATCAATTTAACATTTTTGACATGCGTTTTTCTGGATTTTGTTGTTGTTATTCTGTCTCACTGTTCAAATAAACCTACCATTAAAATTATAGACTGATCATTTCTTTGTCAGTGGGCAAACGTACAAAATCAGCAGGGGAGCAAATACTTTTTTTCCCTCACTGTATGTGTTTGGGTAAAAATAACATTTTTGTTTTATTCTATAAACTACTGACAACATTTCTCCCACATTCCAAATAAAAATATTGTTATTTAGAGCATTCATTTGCAGAAAATGACAACTGGTCAAAATAACAAAAAAGATGCAGTGTTGTCAGACCTCGAATAATGCAAAGAAAATAAGTTCATGTTCATTTTTAAACAACACGATACTAATGTTTTAATTTAGGAAGAGTTCAGAAATCAATATTTGGTGGAATAACCCTGATTTTCAATCACAGCTTTCATGCGTCTTGGCATGCTCTCCACCAGTCTTTCACATTGATGTTGGGTGACTTTATGCCACTCCTGGCGCAAAAATTCAAGCAGCTCGGCTTTGTTTGATGGCTTGTGACCATCCATCTTCCTCTTGATCACATTCCAAAAGTTTTCAATGGGGTTCAGGTCTGGAGATTGGGCTGGCCATGACGGGGTCTTGATCTGGTGGTCCTCCATCCACACATTGATTGACCTGGCTGTGTAGCATGGCACATTGTCCTGCTGGAAAAAACCAATCCTCAAAGTTGGGGAGCAATGTCAGAGCAAAAGGAAGCACATTTTCTTCCAGGACAACCTTGTACGTGGCTTGATTCATGCGTTCTTCACAAAGACAGATCTGCCCGATTCCAGCCTTGCTGAAGCACCCCCAGATCATCACTGATCCTCCACCAAATTTCACAGTGGGTGCGAGACACTGTGGCTTGTAGGCCTCTCCAGGTCTCCATCTAACCATTAGACGACCAGGTGTTGGGCAAAGCTGAAAATTGGACTCATCAGAGAAGATGACCATTCTACGGTCCAATCCTTATGGTCTTTTGCAAACCTCAGCCTGGCTCTTCTTTGCTTCTCATTGATGAAGGGCTTTTTTCTAGCTTTGCACGACTTCAGCCCTGCTCCTAGGAGCCTGTTTCAAACCGTCCTCGCCGTGCACTTCACCCCAGCTGCCGTTTGCCATTCTTTTTGTAGGTCACTTGATGTCATCCTACGGTTGTTGAGTGACATTCAAATGAGTTGGCGGTCATCCCGGTCAGTAGAGTCGTTTTCGCCCTCTGCCGGTTTGTTGTCCCCAATGTCTGCTGCTTGAACTTGTTCTTATGAACCGCTGTCATTGACATTAAGGATGGAAGCAACCTGACGCTCACTGTATCCCTCTGCCAGTAAAGCCAGAATTGAACCTTTCTTTTCCTCACTCAACTTTCCTTTTCAACTCTTTTGGCATGGTCAATAGTTATTTTTTTATTAATATTACTTTTGGAGGTACTATTAGCACTGTTTTTGCCATCCAGCTGGTCCTATTGCAAGAGGATAGTGATGACCACAGCAGTGGTTTTTATACTTTTCCTCATTAAATAAGATTTGGTTCAGGTGATCACCTAATCAGTACCTAATTCAGTAGAATGAGGTGTGCCTGTGTTGGAATTCAACAGACACTGGAATGGAATGGCTGTCATACATGTAGAGATGCTGATTTAAGAAATATTTGCAGTGGTCTCTTCATTTTTTTCAGAGTGATATGTGTATATATATATATTTACGTTTGCTTTGTTTACAAACATTGGAGTGAAACAAGCTTATATTTTGGCTTCTGATGGGTTATGACAGTTGAACTAAGCTCATGAGGCATTTGGATGTGGAAACTGCTGAGGGGTAGTTAAGTGATTTTGGATATGGTTTAATATCCATGTAAAAAGTTCCAGTCAAGCCCCTCTATGCTTTGCCTGCTCGTGACTGTCTGTGTCACAAGTGGCCATATCAGGGGGGCAGAGTGACCATCTCTTAAAACCGGGGTCTGGGGCTCTACCCCTGCCTCTGGACATTTTCAGGAGGAACTGTCCTTGCATTAAAGCTATAACAGAACTCTTCTATAACGAAAATAAAGTTCCATCCAGACTCTAGTACTAGTAATTGACGTTCACAAAATCACATTTGTAGTTCTTCATTCACCAACACAGAATGTGGTTTACTCCTGTATTCACTTAATGTAGCTAGGTTTATAGAACTGGAACACAGAGTGACGATTTCCCGATGTTGTATTCATTAGGGCACACTTTTGCAATGAAAGTCCAGGTAGTCCCTCCCTGTTTTCTGTTATGTTTGGTGCTTAATGAATATCTCCTTCCTCCTGTAGCCCATGGAGGTGTTTGTGGACGATGAGACCAAGCTGACGCTGCACGGCCTGCAGCAGTACTACTGCAAGCTGAAGGATAGCGAGAAGAACCGCAAGCTCTTCGACCTGCTCGACGTGCTCGAGTTCAACCAGGTATGGACAAAATTGATATTTTTAGAGGTTTTAATGCTAAAACTTCATTTTTTTTGTTTGTTTTAATCTGAGTGAGTTGAATGTGTTTCATCCATGGATTTGAAAGTCACGTTAAATACAATTGTACTCATTCAAGTTAACTAAGTCTATGAGCCGACATGGTTTCTGCCTGTGTTAGTTTTATGCCCCGTGTTTTTCGTCTTCCGTGTACATCTATTTGACCAGGGTAAAGCCAGGGTGCCATATCAGATGCAGCATGGGTTTTGTGGCCCGTGTTTGTCTTCATTGTCTTACTGCCGTTCTCTTCCCCCTGTATGTAGGTGGTGATCTTTGTGAAGTCAGTGCAGCGCTGTGTGGCTCTGTCTCAGCTGCTGGTGGAGCAGAACTTCCCTGCCATCGCCATCCACAGGGGCATGGCCCAGGAGGAGAGGTGGGTTCTGACGGAGGGGAATGCACCTGTTGAAATCTGAGAGGCTTTGATTGGTATAAGCAATATTGTGAAACGTCCCCCTAGCCTATCAAATATTACGATACTGCGTACACTTCAAATCCTCTCACTTTAGTGGTCGATTTGGGATTGGGCCTCTGCTTTCATTGGGAAATTCTGATTTGGGCAAAATACTGTCCTCTCTCATCCGTAAACCGATAAGCGGTCGAGGAGAGTGTCAATTAGTAGGCAAACAGAGGCGTGAGGAAGCACAAGTGTCCTTCGGAAGAGTTTTGAGATTTGCCACTCCCCCTTTGAATCAGCTGTTTACTCGACGGAGAAAAGCATGCACATATTTTAAAACGATATGCTACTTATTGTTTTATGTATAAAATGTCTAGCACAACTAACTAAATGTCTTACTACTTTATACGTTTAATTTGGGATTCCACCCAGGGCCTAAAATTAACACTTGGCATTGGCGGGTAAGATGTCTTTCACCAGCCTCGTTGGCGGGTGGTCAGGGCTCCACAGTGTGAGCATTTCACTCGCGTTTGTGAATTAAAAATAGTCAAGTATGATCACATTTATAGTAAAATAAATGCTGCAGTAGCTGTTTTCAAAGTATTTCTGCCATTTTGTTTCATAGCTGGTAAATTAAGTCAAAGAACTACGAATTCTATATAGCCTATTCCACCTCGCACTGCAACACGGCCTGGCTGGTCTAATTTACTTGAAACTGAAGTGAGACTCCTTGGGTTTCTTGGCTATTTACATTGTTTTGTTCACAAGCTAGGTTGTTTTTCTATGTTTGAGTTTCAACTGCTAGGGAACAGACAGACAACTCTTCTATTGCTAGTCAGACTCAATCTCACAGGCACAAACATGATTTGAGTCGTGTATCCACGGTAACCTCCAGCCCTTAAAGGGGCAGGTGAACATGTTGTCTCGTCAGTGGTATTTTGGTTAAAAGACTCGGGTCACAAAAAATGAAATTAAACAATATACCACATTACTTCTTACTAGTAATACATTTATTGTTTTAGAAACATTACAAAGCATGCTCATCCATTATTTTGTTGGTGTCATTTTAGCGGGGGGGGTGGCTGGTAGATTTTTAAATCTACCTGCAACAGTGGCTGGTGAACCAAAAAGTTAATTTTATGCCATTCCACCCCTGTAAACATTTTTTGCATGATGACACGCGAATGATGGAGTCTCATTTTATACAAGCGCATTTGTTTCCACATTTCCTCCCCTCAGTTACCTTTTACCTTTTTTCAAAAGGAGGCAAGAGGACTGAGATGTGCAATCAAATTGATAATCTTCCATTTACGTGCACGTTTTCTGTAATAGCAGAAGCTGTTATCCGGAGGGACTGAACAATAACTTTCACTCAGACATGTTTGTGTACCCACAGGAGTGAAGCAGGAAGCATTATGCCTGTTCTACTCATTTCTAAATCTATGAATGCCCCCCTTCCTCACCCAGGCTTTCCCGGTACCAGCAGTTCAAGGACTTCCAGAGGCGGATCCTGGTGGCCACCAACCTGTTTGGCCGAGGGATGGACATTGAGCGCGTCAACATTGTCTTCAACTACGACATGCCCGAGGATTCCGACACCTACCTGCACAGAGTGGCACGTGCCGGCAGGTTCGGGACGAAAGGTCTGGCCGTGACCTTTGTGTCTGACGAGACCGACGCCAAGACCCTGAACGATGTGCAGGACCGCTTCGAGGTCAACGTGGCAGAGCTCCCAGAAGAGATTGACATCTCCACCTACAGTAAGCTATATCCAACAAACTAGTCTAGCACTCATTTGGATTTCATGTGCTGCCGCAGTACCTTTTCATGGTTTTTGTCCGAAATGTCACCCTATTCCCTATATAGGGCACTACCTTTTACCAGAGCCACATAGGCTCTGATCAGAAGTAGTGCACTATATAGGAAATTGGATGCCATTTCAGACAGCCACGTTTTCACTTCTCATTTATTCCTTTGTGTTTTGGAAGATCCTTCATTAATACAGTGCTGTTTGCAATGCCAGTGCTGCTTGCAATTGTACCTTCAAAGGAAATGTTGAGCCACTGAGTAGTCATGGGAGTATGTGGTCTGTATAGCTATGTTTTGCTGCAGGCATCCATTTTATTTGTAGGTTATTTTTTGTACCCATCATCTGCAAGTCATTTTATGTGGGTACACTGTTTGATGCTGTAAACTAACATCACCCTCTTCTCTCACCTTTTCTCATTTCAGTTGAACAGTCCAGATGAAGATCGCCCCCTGACCAGTGAAGACGACGTGTGCACCCCTCTGTCCCTGTGTTTTTCAGCGAGGGAGATTTAAAAAATAATCTGTCCGTTTTTTATTTTAAATACCTCTCCCTGATCTCCCAGTTCATTTTGCATCACTTTTTATTTTATCCTATCCTCCCGGGGCTGCAGTTTTAATTTTGTTTTCCCTGTTAATTGTGGTTTCTGTTTTTTGGGTTAATTAAATAATTGAAATTAAAACTTTTTATACAATTATGTCACTGTTTATTTTCTTTTCCCTTACTAATAGAGTTGAAAAATTCTGACAATTTTCCACCTACATTAGAATGTTGGGAAAGTTACCAGAATTTTGTAACCATAGTTACTAATTAGAGAAGTTGGAGATTGACTTTTCACATTGCAGCATATCATTGAACATGGAAGATCAATGTTGAATTCAAATGTCAGAAGACAGACCTAGATTAACACTAGAATATCAGATTCAATTTTTCCTGTCACAAGTAGAGGGCACTATGATCATAGATTTCAGATGTCTTCCACTATTTAAAAAAAGTGTGTGTATATATATATATATATACACACACACACACACAACCGGTAAAAAGTTTTAGAACACCTACTCATTCAAGGGTTTTTCTTTCATTGTTACTATTTTGTATTGTAGAATAATAGTGAAGACCTCAAACTATTAAATAACACATATGGAATCATGTAGTAACCAAAAAAGTGTTAAACAAATCAAAATATGTATATACAGTGGGGGGAAAGTATTTAGTCAGCCACCAATTGTGCAAGTTCTCCCACTTAAAAAGATGAGAGGCCTGTAATTTTCATCATAGGTACACGTCAACTATGACAGACAAAATGAGAAAAGAAAATCACATTGTAGGATTTTTAATGAATTTATTTGCAAATTATGGTGAAAAATAAGTATTTGGTCAATAACAAAAGTTTCTCAATACTTTGTTATATACCCTTTGTTGGCAATGACACAGGTCAAACGTTTTCACACACTGTTTCTGGTATTTTGGCCCATTCCTCCATGCAGATCTCCTCTAGAGCAGTGATGTTTTGGGGCTGTCGCTGGGCAACACGGACTTTCAACTCCCTCCAAAGATTTTCTATGGGGTTGAGATCTGGAGACTGGCTAGGCCACTCCATGACCTTGAAATGCTTCTTACGAAGCCACTCCTTCGTTGCCCGGGCGGTGTGTTTGGGATCATTGTCATGCTGAAAGACCCAGCCACGTTTCATCTTCAATGCCCTTGCTGATGGAAGGAGGTTTTCACTCAAAATCTCACGATACATGGCCCCATTCATACGTGCCAACTAACCACCTAGCAATTTTAGCTAACCCAGATAGGTTCCCAATCTCCCTACCTCATAACTGGCTTCCAAGAAGCCATTTCAGGCTATCAATAACGTTAGAGTAGCTAGCTTGTCTAACTATTTTAGCTGCCATGCCTCAACTTTAGAAAAGCAAGCAATTACTAAATGTACAGAATAAGACTCACATTCTTTTCAATCTTTTACCCAGATTTTAACAGAGATGCAGAGTAGCATATTTTGTTTCTTTAACAAATATCCACCAGTCAGGAGGATACAGACAGATCAAGAGGTATGCTTAGATATGAAAAACAGAAATATTTTTAACCTAGAATGAAGCATAATGTTTATTGCTCTAGATCGCAGGAAAAGTCTCAGTTTCAGGTGTTCGAAAAATGCAAAATTCCCCAACTTCCGGACAAGGGGGCCTAGCTCCTCTCCAGACCACCCCCCAGGCATCCTCACTCAATAACATGTACTGCTCGTCGAACATCTCATTCCAAAACCATGGCATTAATATGGAGTTGGTCCCCCCTTTACTGCTATAAAAGCCTCCACTCTTCTGGGAAAGTTTCCACTAGATGCTGGAACATTGCTGCGGGGACTTGCCTCCATTTTGCCACAAGAGCATAAGTGATGTTGGGCGATTAGGCCTGACTCGCAGTCGGCGTTCCAATTCATCCCAAAGGTGTTCGATGGGGCTGAGGTCAGGGCTCTGTGCAGGCCAGTCAAGTTCTTCCACACCGATCTCGACAAACCATTTCTGTATGGACCTCGCATTGTGCACGGAGGCATTGTCATGCTGAAACAGGAAATGGCCTTTCCCAAACTGTTGCCACAAAGTTGGAAGCACAGAATCATCTAGAATGTCATTGTATACTGTAGCGTTAAGATTTCCTTTCACTGGAACTAAGGGTCCTAGCCCGAACCATTATTCCTTCTCCACCTAACTTTACAGTTGAACAAAATAGAATTATTGTAAAATTGACTGTGTCCATAAAATGTATATAGTAAGTATAAACTGGAAGTAGAGGCTTAAGCATTGTTGTTCACTAGTTTACTCCAATTAGGGAAAGGGTGGTGGGGTTGGAAAGTAATAAAGGGGAATATATTTTAATACACATGGGGGATTGGAAGTGATGCAGACAATTACATTGATGGAAGTTACAATATATCTGCAATATTAAGCTGATCTACCCCCTTTAAAAAATATATCTTCACAGTTGGCACTATGCATTGGGGCAGGTAGCGTTCTCCTGGCATCCGCCAAACCCAAATTAGTCAGTTGGACTGCTAGATGATGAAGCGTGATTCATCACTCCAGAGATCGTGTTTCCACTGCTCCAGAGTCCAATGGCGGCGAGATCTTGTGATGACGTTTCTTCCAGAGACAGTTTGGAACCGAGGACAGATTATTTTTACGCACTTCAGCATTTGAAAAATTAAAACTATACTGAAACTATTATCTTTGACTGCAAAATAAAATAAAATGAAAACCATCATAAATGATGTTTAGTTTGAGTTTTTTTCTTCTAAACTTTAGACCAAAATCAAATTGGTTTTTCGAGCTTCTGAATCTGGCGGATAAATGTTGTCAGTAGATGCCGATGTTTCAAATAGGCCTAGCTTGTGCATCACTATCACTAGCTATCACTACCTACTGGGCACAGATGTCAGTTCAACGTCTAGTTTTTATTTACATTTGGTTGAGTTTTCAACTAATGTGAATTCAACGTGGAATCAACCAAAAATATCACCCTGTCATTGGATTGAAGTTAAAAGTTAGGTGAAAAAAAAAACGAAATTCCCTTCAGTTGAGTACTTTTTGCAAATCCAATCAGATTTCCACTTTGATTCAACGTCTTCACTTTGAATTTTTCGGTTGAAATGACGTGGAAATAGCATTGATTCAAATAGTTTTAGCCCAGTGGGCAGCTAACAGGGAAGAAATCTGAGGGCAAGCACAGAGCGTGACTGGGACAAGCTAGAACAGGTTGTGAAGTTGCTGGAGCAATTCGCAATCCACACCAACCAACTTCAAACTGACAGCCAGTCGCTGTCTGATGTGGTGCCGTGCCGTCTCAACATTGAGCAGCAGGACCCCAGGAAGATGTCAGCATGATGAATCCAGCAAGCATCTCGACCACAGTGCTTCAAAAATATAGCTTCCTCGCATCGAAGATTCTGTCTGAGGTCACTGTCCAGCCAGAGGGTCAACCTGGCAGGGCATTAAGTGCCCTGTGTGAGCTGCGGAAATACCTGGAAGAGGTAAAGGGGGGCATGTTGAGTCACCTCTCCAGTTCTGGCAGGCAAGGATGGCTGTTTATCCAAAGCTGTACCCTGTGGCACTGGATCTGGTTTCTGCCCCTGCATCCCAAGTGTTCGTGAACAGAATATTCAAATCAAATCTAATGTTATTTCTCACATGCGCCGAATACAACAGGTGTAGACCTTACTGTGGAATGCTTACTTACGAGCCCTTAACCAACAGTTCAGAGTTTTTAAAAAGTAAATAAGAAAACTGTGCTAAATAAACTAAAGGAAAAATAGTAACATAATAAAATAGCAATAATGAGGCTATATACAAGGGGTAAAGGTACAGAGTCAATGTGCAGGGGTACGAGTTAGTCAAGGTAATTGAGGTAATATGTAAATGTAGGTAGGGGTAAAGCGACTAGGCATAGATAATAAACAAAGAGTAGCAGCATATGTGAAGATGTGTGTGTGTGTTTGTGTTGGAGAGTCAGTGTAGTATGTGTGAGTGTGAAGTTAGAGTCCAGTGAGTGTACAACAAGCCTGTACAAGAGAGTCAGTGCAAAACAGGGGGTCAATGCAAATAGTCCAGGTAGCCATTTGATTAACTGTTCAGCAGTCTTATGGCTTTTGGGTAGAAGCTATTAAGGTGCCTTTTGGTCCCAGACTTGGCGCTCCATTACTGCTTGCCGTGTGGTAGCAGAGAGAACAGTCTATGACTTGGGTGGCTGGGGTCTTTCACCATTTTTAGGTTCTTCCTCTAACAGCGCCTGGTATAGAGGTCCTGGATGGCAGGAAGCTCTGCCCCAGTGATGTACTGGGCTGTAAGCACTACCCTCTGTAGCGCCTTGTGGTCAGATGCCAAGCAATTGCCATACCAAGCGGTGATGCAACCAGTCAGGATGCTCTCGATGGTGTAGAACCTTTT